TGTGGGTGTGTGTGGCTGTGGGTGTGGGTATGGGTATGGGTCCGATTGAACACAAGATGAACACCAACACCCACCCACACCCACACCCACACCCACACCCATACCCACACCCACATCCACACCCATACCCACACCCACCCACCCACACACCCACACCCACACCCACACCCACCCACACCCACACCCACCCACACCCACACACCCACACCCACCCACCCACACCCACACCCACACCCACCCACACCCACACCCACACCCTCGTTCATTAAACTTATTTCATAGCGTAACTAGGGTGTGTGGATGTGGGTGTCGAGTGTAGGTGGGGGTAGGTATGAGGGTGGGTGTGGGTGTGGGGTGGGGTGGGGTGGGTATGGGTTGGGTGTGGTGGTGTGTAGTGTGGGTATGTGTGGGGGTGGGGATTGGAGTATCGGTGTGGCTGTGTGTGTAGGTGTGGGTGTGGGCGCGATTTCGAGTCCTCTCACATCCACATCCACATCGACCTCTACACGCACACGCACACCCACACCCTATTTATTTTTCAAACAAAATGAAATTAAAAGACAACAAACAAAGAATTATTGATCAAAGTTTTATTTGATTGAACAAATTATGTTATTGTGAAGTTATTTCAAATTTTTGTATTCGATGATTTTCGCAATCAACTACATAGAGATTTTGTTGCAAATCAAATGACAAACCCATAGGACAATACAACTGATTTGATTCTTCTCCCTGTCCATTTCCACCAACAACAATAGATCCTTCTTTATCTCCTTCACACCAACGCGTTATTCGATTATTGTCGCGTTCTGCGGCATATATTTGATCACACTGATCGACAATTACTCCTCTAGGAGAAGCCAGTTGTCTTAAAGTGTTTCCGGGACCATTTCCACCAGCAACAATAATTCCTTCTTTTGCATCTTTTATCCATTTCATCACACGATGATTCTTCCAATCTGATATATACAATGAATAATCTTTATCAACAAAGATATAACCAGGAGCATCAAGTTGATTTAGATTATCTCCTTTTCCATTTCCACCTGCTATTAATGTTCCATCTTTATCCCCTATTTTCCATCGTCTCACTTCATTCTTGATCCAATCAGAAGCATAAAGATATCCCTTATTATCCATTGCTATACCTACACAGTCAATATTCTCAATGATAATTCGTCCGTTTGCATTTTTTTGACGAGACCATTGCGTTATTTGTCTGGTTCCCCAATCGGAGACAATAAAAGAATTATTTTGTTTATCAATAATCAGATTTGTTGGATAATTCAATTGGGGAATTTTATCTCCATACCTATTTCCACCTGCAATAATTTGACCATATTTTTCATTCGATTTCCATTCAACAATACGATGATTTCCCCAATCAGCAATATAAATGGATTGATTATCAATAAATATACTGAAAGGGGTATCAAGTTGATTCAATTGATTTCCATATCCATTGCCTCCAGCAACAGTAGTAGCATATTGTTTCCATTTTGTATCTAAAAATAAGTCAAAAGTTTCTCGAAATCTTGTTTCACTTGCACCTTTGTAATAATAGTAAGCAGAAAGCTCAAATTTTCGTATAGAACAGGTCTGCACATCACGTATATTTGCTGTGAATATAAGCCTATTCCACTCTAGGAACATGTTAAAAAAGAATATTTTACCAGAAGAGCAGACCTTATTTACATACTTTGTATAAACAATTTATTTTTTGTATAAATTATTGTATGAAAAACAGTTATCATTTTAAGAATATCTGGGTTTTTTTTGTATACTAATCAACATTATACATTCATGCTTATCTCGTTTCGCTGCTTCACTCAATAGTATATTATTTTAAATCTGTTTCTTTGTATTTATACTATTCTCGAAATATGTTTGAATTTACTCTTACTTTTGTCTCTATAAATGAACATTTTTTGTAGAAAAAGTAAGAGAAATTGTGAATGAAAAATATCTATATGAGTTCAGTCAGAATTATAAGACTCTCTAGATATAATTAATTTTTGATTATTTGAATTATTTAAGTATATAAAATTGAATAAAATAGTTTGAATTCATTTATGGAAAAATATATTTTTGTCTCACACTTCTACAAATCATTTTAAAAAATTCTCCATTTAAAATATTGCAAGAAACTCTTTTTCTGCGTTTTTGATGAGAATCTATGTTTCTTATATCAAACATTTCATTAGTGCATAGTGAAATAAACCGAAGATCCTGTTTAAGATTAAAAATACAACATAGTTGTTTCAAAAACTGCTTACTAGTATTTACATAAATTCCCTTCATAGTTGGATAACTAATGATTCTTTGAAGTTTTTGTTGTCGTTCTTGATCGAGTAATGTAATTACAGATTGATAATTATCTTGTTCAATAATACGCCATAAAGATGGCTCAGCCACACTATCTGTCCAAAGTGTTGGATCACGATGGAGTCGTGTATCCCCTCCAATTGCTTGGAAACTCAATAATGATGTTTGGTTAGATGATTTATTTTGTAATTGATTCTCAGAACCACCACCGACATATATTTTGGCTGGTTTAATAATTGAAGCAAAGAAAGATGCTTCAGCACTTATTCGTTTTTTTGCTTCTTCAGCTTTATCTTGATTATGATGTATTTCTGTATGATAAAGTTGACCACCCAAAACAACTTGACGTGGATAAACATGACCATATGTTGAAAGAACTTCTTTTAATTTAATAATTTGCTCATTTCGTGAAGGAATCGAGAGAACATTATCGATCGCTTCGATGAATTGAGATGTTAGTTCAAGGTAAGATAAATCAAGTTCTAAAGTGACACGTGGAAAATTTAAACAATATGTTAAGTATATTTGTCTTAGTGCATTTGTTGTCGTCTTGTTCTTTAAATATTCTGTATTAATACCAAAACCAATGAAAGGATTAGAAAATTCTAGACCACCATCGAAATATTGACTTGAAAGAAAAGAACTTTCCATCTCTCTTTCTTTCATATACACACGAGTATAAGAACCATCATTAACTTGAAACAAAGGGAAGTCCTCATTAAACTTTTTGAATTTGAATGTGGATTTGAAAGCACGTATGGGTGTTTCTTTATCCATTCGAATACATTGAAAAAGATTACAATTATGAAATATTTTTTGCCACATATGAAGATCTAGATCAGTAGCTAAGATAATCTTATTCTCAAGACGTGTTGGTGTTGAACCAGGTAGTTTAAGTTCGTGTAACAAGGTTTTAGTTGATGATTGACTGAGTGTTTGGACATATTTGAGATCAGTTTTTCTTTCAGAT